ATCCATCCATCCATCCATCCATCCATCCATCCATCCATCCATCCATATCTCTCATATATTTATCATCTCTATCATTTTTACTGTAGTTTATCATTGCCATTCTTGTAAATGAGTCCTTGTGGCTCAATGAAGCCAACCTGTATAAATAAAAGGTTGAATAAATCATTATGTATATATTTATATTCATTCAACCTTTATTGATACAGGTTAGTCCCATTGAGCCAATAGGACTCATTTACAAGAGAGACCTTGGTTTTAACAGAGTGATGACAACAGTGGATAACAAACTGTTTTTCAATTGTAAAACAAACAAACAATAAAAAAAACTTAAATTTGTATGAATCATTTGTGAATGTCTATTGTTGTCGTTGTTATCACTGTCTTATTATCTTGTGCTCTGGTCCAGTGTCTTCATGGACGATGTGTGTGAGGGTGGACATGTTTGGAGGTTGCTGTGTTGAAGCTCTCCATGAATCAGCCTCTCTGCAGCTCTCAGCACCTTCACTGAGCCTTGAGGGAATCACTGAGCTGCTCTTGTTCTTCACAGTTAGAAGGTGGGAGCTCTCGTCAAATGATGATCTCCAGCATCATCTTGTTCATGCCAGGCTTTTCATCCACTGACCACAGCCACCTGGAAACATCAGGAGGACTGTTTAACACATCTGGAAGGAAACCAGTGAGATTTTAATATGATCATTATGATATGATGTTATGTGGGGGAGTGGTGGAGCAGAGGTTACAAGATGGGCCTGTGATGGGAAAGTCGCAGGTTCAACTCCCGGTACCGTCAACATCAAAATGAGGTGGAAAAGGTGAAACACCCACACCTGCCTCCATCCTCATTGGCCCCACCCTGGTCCCCTGAGCAAGGCCCTTAACCCCCACCATCTGCTCCTAAACAGGTCTCTCTGAAAAAATGAGTTCTCGTGACCCAGTGAGACTACCTGGATAAATAAAGGGTAAATAAAAAAAAAAGTTTAAAATAGAAATACTCACATCATTAGGCTGAGGTTGTGTGTGTGACGTGCACGTTCCTGAGAGGCCACAAACAGAGCAGCTCCAGCTTTTGTTGAGTTCCTGTAGTCCTGCAGTTTTCAAGCTGAAATGAAAAAATATCATGAATATGAACTTTACAGTCTATAGTTACCTGTTCATATAAACACATGGAGGTGTCTCACCTTGTGACTGACAATAAAATATGTAAATTTATGAACTCTAATGAACTTATAATGATGCTCCTACTGTTTGAAGGTGAACCGATGGTACCACACCATCTCTCAGTCGGACAATCTGATCAGTTTGATCAAAATCCTCCTGTTTAAAATCCTCTCTGCTCAGATGAATCCTCCTCAAAGATACTTCCACCTCTTCCTCACATCTTGTTCTTTGGGAAACCTTCAAAATAAAAACAGGAGATTTGTGTCTACACAAAAACATTGTACAGAGGAGGTCAATCTTATTTTCTATTTCCTATATTCTCCCTAGTTTATTTTTTTTTATATCCTAGAACTTAAACAAAACTCCAGTTTTGATGCATATCTGTTGATAATGAACCAATGCTACTGAAATAGTGAGTACGCTTGTTAGAAAACTATTCCTGTCATCAGATCTCAGTCAGCTTCATTGCAGCTGAACACCTTGTTACACTGAACATCACATCAGCTGGTGGACATAAATACAGTACAGTAATATTATATTCACAAAATACTAACAATAATATGTTCATCTTACTTGTGAAAAGTTATCCCCCGAGACCTGACGTCAACAGTCTGTCGATTAGAACAGAAATAAGCTGCAAAGTGCTGAGACATCTTCTGCTTTATCCAAATAAGGACGACCGTTTCAAGATGGCGGCCGAAAATCCTGCGGGCATCTAGTGTTTATATCTATGGTCCAATCCACCAGAACCAGTTTCGGTTTAAGTTTCGGTTTTGACTGCTGCGTTTCTTCACGTTTGCATTTTAATAATAATAACTAATAGTTTAGTTTTTCCTGTGAGTTATTTGCAGTATGATAAATGGTAGGAGCATAATATACACTCCCAATGTTTTGTTGGTCTTTTTTTTTTGGGTAAATAGTTACCTTTTTTTTGCGGTTTAATTTATTTTTGCATCTTGAGATCTATGACGTCATCAAATACTCGAGTTGTACTCGGGTTTTATTATGTTAATGTCGAGTTTAAAAATTATATACTCGTTCAACCACTAACCTGGATAAATAACGGGTAAATTAAAAAACAAAAGTTTAAAATAGAAATACTCACATCATTAGGCCGAGGTTGTGTGTGTGACGTGCACGTTCCTGAGAGTGTGTGTGTGACGTGCACGTTCCTGAGAGGCCACAGACAGAGCAGCTCCAGCTTTTGTTGAGTTCCTGTAGTCCTGCAGTTTTCAAGCTGAAATGAAAAAACATCATGAATATGAACTTTACAGTCTATAGTTACCTGTTCATATAAACGCATAGAGGTGTCTCACCTTGTGACTGACAATAAAATATGTACATTTATGAACTCTAATGAACTTATAATGATACACCTACTCTTTGAAGGTGAACCGATGGTACCACACCATCTCTCAGACAGTCTGATCAGTTTGATCTAAATCCTCCAGTTTAAAAACCTCACTGCTCAGATGAATCCTCCTCAAAGATACTTCCACCTCTTCCTCGCATCTTGTTCTTTGGGAAACCTTCACAATGAAAACAGGAGATTTGTGTCTACACAAAAACATTGTACAAAGGAGGTCAATCTTATTTTCTATTTCCTGTATTCTCCCTAGTTTTATTTTTTTAATTCCTAGAACTTAAACAAAACTCCAATTCTGATACATATCTCTTGATAATGAACCAAAGCTACTGAAATTGTGAGTACGCTTGTTAGAAAAAAATTCCTGTCATCAGATCTCAGTCAGCTTCATTGCAGCTGAACACCGTGTTACACTGAACATCACATCAGCTGGTGGACATAAATACAGTACAGTAAATTCTATTCACAAAATACTAACAATAATATGTTCATCTTACTTGTGAAAAGTTATCCCACGAGACCTGACGTCAACAGTCCGTCGATTAGAACAGAAATAAGCTGCGAAGTGCTGAAACATCTGCTTTAACCAAATAAGACAACCGCTCCAAGATGGCTACCGAAAATCCTGCGCCTCAGCAGCCAATGAGGCATCTAGTGATTATACGATATCTATGGTTAGACATCCTCAAACAGCTTCATGCTTTGTTTACGTTTCCTTTCCGCGTTGAAGCTTCGTGATCATTAAGCATCGTGGTGGACATGCGCACAAAAGCCAGCGGTTAGGTTGCATGGTTTTCAATTCTTGCTTCATTTTACGTGTAACCTTTCAAAACGAGTTAAGTTAATATAAAAGAAACGTTGCAGTCCGCATATCTTCACTTTTGAATCATCATGACAATCGGAACAGCTCTAATTTATGATGAAGAGATGACCAAATACAAACTGCTCTGGGTTGAGTAAGTGTTAAACAAATTAAATTATACAGCTAATTTAACGTTGCCTTGTTTTAAACTCCACGCTGACAGAGTCGTCGTGTTAGTTAAAAAAAGGTTGAATGAAGTAATAAAGTCATAATTACAGTTAAGTTGTAGCTTAGCTGTGGTTGACACACCGTACACCCTTCAGTGTTTACATCTCAGGAAGGTTAATAGTTTCTAAAAAATTTCCCTGATTGAGTTTATTTTCTTTAGTGTTAAATGTGCATAAAACATTATTCGCTGCTAGGAACTAATGACACGGTAAATGTTGCCTTACCGGGGTATTTACGCAAGTACACCCGAGGTGTTAGCCTGAATGCTAACAGTGTTGCTGTCACTGCAGCTTCTTGCTGTTTACTGACAAGTTATTTCTCCCATAAAATGACTTTATTATTATTATTAATAATAACTATAAATAAAATGCATTTTATGTAATTTTGTAACTTATTCAGCATTTTGCACCTGTTGGTATATATATTTTTACTGCAAATAAGTTTTTGGGCATGCCGGAAGTTAATTTATACCTTGAGATTTTTTTTTTTTTTTTTTTTTTAAACCAATTTAGCCCATTGTACACTTTGGAAAATGTCTTAAAAAATTGATACCTTTTTTTTGGTGCGTTTAAAACTGATGACTACCAACATGACTCTCGGCTGCCCTTTACTGCAGGGTCCCCAGCAACTCTGGAAATCAGGGAAAACCTGAAAAGGGACTTTCACATTTTCCAGACAGAGAACTTGTGGAATCGGAGAAAAACAAAAAATCAGAAAAAACTCAGAGAATTTGCACACTTATCTGCTAATGAGAAGATGATTTGTCTGACATTTTAACATGTGCATGTATTAATGTTAGTATTCCAGTATTATTGAATCTATGTTCTGCTTCTATAGTATAGTGTACAGTAGTCCCTCCATTATCGCCGGGGTTATGTTCCAGACACCACCGTGAAAGGTGAAAAACAGCGATGTAGAACGCTATATTTATTGTAGTATTTTATATATTAAGGCTTTATAAACCCTTCCCACACTCTTGCAATGTTCTAAACTCTTAAATCTATGTCATTTTAACAACTTATGTATATGTATAGTACAGTACTGCAACATTTTACTCACCAGCTCTGCAGAATAGCAACTCTGTTCCGGTCGAGCTTGGTTCTGGTTCAGCAGTGACAAAGCCCACCGCCCCGTCCAGGTTGATGTACGTGTGGATAATAGACCTTTTTCACGACAACCGGAAGTAGCGTCTCATGGTACTGGGTTACTTCCGGCTTTCGCGAGTCTATGCAAATGCCAGGCTTTTCTTTCGCTGATGTGGAGGAAATCGCAGCGGTGAATTCTCGAACCAATAAACCTGTGAAAGGATAAAAGTTCTTCCATGAAGTCTATATCAACAGCTATCAAGGTAAGAAAAGACGTAGCTTAGCGAGCTAACCGTTAGCTACAACATATGAAGTACATAAACATCGTAATTAAGCCTAATTTAGTGTGCTAAATTATTTGGAATATTTGAGACAGACGTGGTATAAACTTTTAAATGATATTTTAATTTGCCATTACAATTTGTGAAAGAAAACGTACTAGATGTTAGTTATGAGATGCTATGATGCTTGATGTTCAAATTGTGCTTTACTTCTGCATAAGTAGGTCAAATATTGTCGAGGGACAGGTAGTTGGCAGAGCTAGATGCTTCAGGTCTGTGAAGAAAAATGAGGAACCACAGACTGCAGGTTTGAAACAGTCAGAAAGCCGGTTGGCTCATGTTCATTAGAGTTCCTGTTCATTTATGACAGCTGAAGAACTTTGACATATGATGGACAACTTCTGTACTACTGAGAGCTCACAGTAACATCTTCCTGTTCAGTGGTTACTGTTTGTCTGTGGTAGCAGCAGTCTGTTTTGTTCTGCTGCTGTTTCAGCTCATCTTCAAACTAAAATCTATCGGTTTAAAGCTAAATATGTTATAACAAGTATCATATGTATGTGCTAAAAACAGTTATCTGTTTTAGATCTCACTGGGTGACAGCAGGAGAAAAACTACGTCAACTGAAGTCCCAACCACTTATCGCACATCCTAAGTTTGGAGCTGGTACCATCCAGATGTGGTCCTGTGCCACAGGGATCACAGATGTCTTACCAGTGCCCATCTGAGAAGTCCTGCGTAGCATCGTTTTGGACCACATGGCTCCACACATCCCTGCTCTTCCTCTGATGCTGCAGTCTTCCCGTGTGTTTTGTGTCCACACTTCACATCTTCAGTCTCTGCAAGTGTCACTGGAAATGTCTTCTCAGAGGCCAGAACCAGGGAGCAGTCCAGATGTTCTGCAGGGGTACATCTTCTACCACCAAGGCTTACTGCTGTTTCCATGTTGCAGAAGAAGTGTGGAGGAGTCTGCTGACGTTTTACTTCAACACCTTCATCCATGCGTTTATATCAACGCAGTAAGAGTCATAAAATGTACAAATCACACTTTTGTTCCTTCATATTTTTAATATTCAGTCTCAAGCTGTGAATCACTGTAAATACTGTAAATAGTTGTTACTCATGAAAAATACATAAATGTGCCAATTTCTTTAAAATAGTATAATTTTGGGCAAAATATCTATAATCCACTATCAATTTATAGTGTACAGTTAAAATGTTAAATAGTTAAGTTTTTTTTTTTTTTTTTACTAGATATTGTAAATTACACTTGTTTTCCTTTCAATACAACTGAATCAATCTACAAATGAAATTAAAACAGTACAGTATGCTGCTCAAGTGTGTTTTTATTGAAGAATGTTTAAAATAATTCAAAACCTTTAAATAAGTAATTACATAACACTATATCAATATGTAACAAGCTTGGGTATGGATGTTATTTTTATTTTATAAACTTACTGCAACACCACCTTAGGATTTTCATCCAAGGACATAATTTATACACAGAAAAGACACTTGGGTTTGTCTACAAGTAAGCAGGAGACTGTTCCAAGATATAATATAAATTTTATTAACACTAAGTTAAAAACCTATTCTAATGGAGGCAATAATTATTAAAATAAATATTTAGCCAAGGCTGAGGCTTTCCAGTGTTCAGTCAACTAAAAGACAAAAGGATGGCTCAAGGTAACACAAGAGCAGAAATTCACCCACAAGCTGTGATGCACGAGTGGAACGGAACCTACACAAGACTAGACTGCTGCCTTCAACCTGGAATATAAATATAAAATTAAGTAAACAAAAATAAATATGAATAATATTTAAGAATTACAAAACAAACAAACATGGGCCTCACATTCACATATAAAAATAGTTGAAATTGGCCCCGGCCTTTAGCTCAGTCAGCCAATCTTCTCTCAGGTAAGACACTGCCTACTTATGGTGACTCAAGCAGGAGTGAGAGTCCACCAACACAGGACTGAGCAGAATGAGGACAGCTGGGAGTTCACCTGTAAAACCATAAAATAAAAGACGGTTAGCAAGATTGTTTCAATTATTGAGCTTATTGACATTATTATTATTATTGTTGACATTATTTCCATGAAGTTCAATACATTTTGTGAGTCAGTGCATGTAACTTGATCTCTCCGTGACTTACATGACAAGTTTATAATGTACCATCTTAATTTGATATTTACCTGTGGGTGGATGTGCCACCAGGTGAAGTGTTTCACGTGGACAGCAGTAGCAGCTTCAGCCTGGCTAGCTTTCTGTGAGAGGACAAGCTGCTGTTTCTGAGCTCTCTAAAAGCAGACTGTCTATTAGCTGGTGCAGCAAAATTATTCCAGGTGAAGAGAAAGAAACAGCTCAACCTTTAAAGCAGCTGGTGGTGGATCCGTAGACAAAATCCTCCTGAGTGAAATGCCAGCTACATACAAGTGCTCCCTGGCCTTATGCAGAAGTTGGGACCATCATCTCTTCTGGTCACTTGGATCCACTTCCTCTTTTAGTCTGGGTATGTCGTAAAAAGCATGGTGGGACAGATATGGTTGTTTTCTTGGCCCACAAGAACAACCAGGAACTGAACAAAAGCAACCACGCCGAGACTGAGCCATTTACCTCACTGTCTAATGCTAATGCTATAGCCACCGGAAGTTGTTTAACACCACATCCGCTTTAAAACGCGGAAGCGTGAAAAAGGTCTATTGAGCTTCATAAAGCTTCAGGATGATTTGCGACTTTCCTACCAGTTCTATGAGATTCATAGATGCAAAACTTTCCCTCCATATTGGCAGAAAGCAGTGGTCGGAAGCACTGTTGGTTTCTGGGTAGTGTAGTTCTTTTGAATGGTGTTACAGTATAGGCTTATTGAAAGAAAACTACAAAATGGCGGCACCTGTCCTAAGTATTTATTTTTAGTTGGCTTTTTATCCCATACTGTCCCAATCACGTGAGTAATATTAAAGTTGACAATCGTGTGTCGTGTACAGTCTTACATAGAAAAACCGCGACAGTCGAACCATGAAGGGTCTCCTGTACATAGTATATGTATCCTTACTGATCGACTATGGTGACTTTAGTATTTGATGTCATGTATTATTAGGATTGACTGTCATTTGCATGCACCGTAGCCTACAGTATACTTCCTGTCATCTCTGACAGTGACTCTGCCTGCCACCTAAGAGGCTAAGTTCTGAGAATTTTGTCTGACTCAAATATCTTCTGGAGTTTTAAGATTTATTCAGGATAAAATCAGAGAATTTTGTTTTCATGAAATGCTGGGAACCCTGTTAATGCATTAAAGATTCTTAAAATAAGTTTATGTCTATTTAAACAATTAAGATTGTTGTTTGTTTTTTTTCCTTGCAGTCCAGCATGTAAGATTGAAGTACCTGAGCGACTGACGGTGAGTTATGAAGCTTTGGTAAGGAATGCACTCGCCGATCGCTGCGTCTCTGTACCTGTTCGTGAAGCCACGGACACAGAGATCCTGCTGGTCCACAGGTCAGAACTGATGTTGGTATGGAGTTGTGTTAGGGTTCATAAAAGGAACTAAATTATTCTTATGCCAGTCAGCTGTGTGTACTTTTCTGTTCTAACAGTGAAGAATACCTGGAGGCAGTGAAGAAGACTCCTTCCATGAGTCTGGAGGACTTAAAGGAGTTCACCCTTCAGTACGGAGATGTCTATTTTCACCCTGTTAGTCTCGTTCTCATTGGCTGTGTCGAACATTTGTCCATGACTGACTTTAAGTTTGCGGTGATCACGTTGTTTCTTCTTTGATTGTTGCAGAACATTTATCACTGTGCCAAACTGGCTGCAGGCTCTGCTCTGCAACTGGTGGACTGGGTTATGACGAAGCGGGTCAGGAATGGGATGGCTCTGGTCAGGTGAGACTTGTAACCCGTTTGACTTTATGAAATGCTCTCTGATACTGTGCTGTGCTTATTTTGTGGGAGAGAATATTTGATTTTGTGGCTCCATTGATGTGCAAGGAGCTTCTCTTACTTGGGTGGTGAAACTTTTTGTTTCTATGTACACGGTAGCAAAAAAAACAAACAAACAAAAGAAAACAGACATATAACCACACAAGACATAGTTAATAAAAACACCCTCTATAGATCTAAGTTGCAGTAGAAAGCCCTAAACCAGGTGTCTGGATCCTTTTTTTGATCAAAAGAACCATTTCTGCCCCTTCATTCACTAAATAAAATGTTTTGAGTCACAAAACCTGCTACAACTGGGATTATCAACTGGTGGCAGTGGGGGTGACATAAAACTAAAAATATATCATGAATTTTAACATTTATTTATTTTTTACATTTTAGGACTGTTGAAATAACATATTCATGTAAAAATAGTTTGTACCAATTGTGATAAAAACTGAAACACTAAACTCTGCAGGCCTATGTGAGTCCATCGTTGAAAAATGTATTACCAGTAAGTATCCCACTTTTGAGATTGAAAAATCTGAGATTGTCATCATTGTATGTTTCCATACAATGATGAAATTAGTTCACTGCATTTAACCCATCTAACCTGACAAACATTCAGGTGGAGCAGTGGGCAGCTATGTCCAGGAAGTAGTTAAGGATTAGATGTAGGCCTGTCACAATAAACAATAAATCAGTTAATCGCATGATAAATGAAAATTATCAACCTCATTTTCATTTATCGGCTTTGTCGTTTCTTCGTGTCTCTTTCTTTCTACTGGACACTGGATGACAAAAGGCTTAACTCCGGTGCTTTTCACTGACCCCTCCCTTTCTCTTTTCTTTGAAAAATCCATTTTAACCGTCCAAAATCTCATTTTTGGATCTTTAAAAGTAGCTAAACTACGAGCTAAGCTAACAGGCCAACCTCAGGGAAAAAAATCTCCATCTTGTGACTTGTCGAAGCTCTAAAATTCACAATTGAAACCCGTGCCTTTGTGTAAAAAGTTGTTTTTCTCTGCAAAAAGCAGCTGAGAACTTGTTTACTGATTTTTTTATTAAAAGCTTTGTGTGAAAAATGCTATGCTAAAGAGCTCAAACCACACAGAGCGTCCGCCATTTTGAGAACTGAAGACACGCTGCTCGCTCCTTCACTATCCATCCTTTGGTTCAAATAGTCTTATACTGTCATCCGGTGGTTGAAAAAAGGTACTACACTCAAAACAAATTAACCAACATTTCTGCTTCCGGTTATGATGCGACAGTGGTGAGACGCATCCCAGCAAAGCTCTGAGGCTACTTGGGTTTTATGTCAAACAGACCACAAACAGACTAAAAAAGCGTGTATATTTTGGAAGCATATAACCAGCCAGAAATATGGTCAATACCAAATCACAGAAAGCAGCACAGCAAAATGCAGCAACATCGAAGCTAAGATCTACTCCACAAGCTGATGTCAGCTCAGCTGTGGCCGCGGATGCCACGTCAATGACAAAAGCAGAGGTGGGGACAAGTGCAGAAGTTATCAGCGCAATACGCCCCATGCAAAGCGACTTCTCAAAAAAGTTTGACGATGTGTTGAGCAGCATAAGTGGATTAAAGATGGATTTACAACGTCAAGCCAATAGGATTACGGAAGCAAAGGACAGAATTGGACGGGTGGAGGTTACCCTGGACACCATACACAATACTGTTAAGATGCTACAGGAGAGGTGTGCTCTGCTGGAAAACAAAGTGGAGGACCAGGAAAGCAGAGCGCGTTGCAACAACTTACGGCTAATTGGCCTCCCAGAAAAAAGCCAAGGGCAGCGATATGTGCGCTTTCCTGGAAAATTGGCTTACAACAGCGCTGGGCTCGGACACTTTCCCAACTCCTCCCGTTATTGAGAGAGCACACAGAATAGGATGACTTACTACCGGCCGGGACCTCAAACCAAGAGCGGTGATAATTCGATTCCTTAACTACAGAGAGAAGGAACTTGCTGTGCGAGCAGCCCGGAGATACGGTACAATGAAGTTTGAAAACCACATTGTGAGATTATATCCAGATCACTCAGCTGAAACTCACCGACAGCAGAGGCTCTTTGAGCCGGTGAAAAGGCAGCTACAAGCCCTGGGACTCCGATATGGTATGTTTTACCTGGCTATTCTGGTGGTGACGTATAATGGACAGCGACACTCTTTCACGAAGATCCAAGATGCAGAAAAGTTTGTTTGTAGTATCCAAGGCAACATCGGCGACGCGCCTGCGCCGAAGGATAAATAAATAGGCTGAATATAGAACACTAAATGGCGATGCTAAGGACCGGTGCTGTTTGACGCAGACAAAGTAAGTAAAAGTTATTTTGGGTTGAAACAGCGCTGATTTAATGAACTGAACGATGATTCTGAATGTGGCGTCTGGTGACGTCAACACCTGCGAGAATTATCCTGAGCTTTTTTGTTTATTTGAAAAGGACTGTCCCTTAAGGAGAGTTTAAAAGATGTTGTGTTACTTTATTATACAAATAGTAAAATACCTTTCATTATAAATATATTTACAATGGGATCATAGGCTGTATTGTTTATTATTATTATTATTATTATTATTA